ATAACTACTGTTAACCGTTGAGGAGTTCCCTCAACTATCGTACTACTTCATCATCAGACCCTTGTTGACAATTACACCCCACTCAGGTGTAAAGTCCTCATCAATACAAATTAATCAAACCCAAACACAAGGTAGCTAGTGTTAACCTTTGAGGAGTTCCCTCAACTATCGTATTACTTCATCATCAGACCCTTATTGTCAATTACACCCACTCAGGTGTAAAGTCCTCATTAATACAAATTAATCAAACCCAAACACAAGGTAGCTACTGTTAACCGTTGAGGAGTTCCCTAACTATCGTACTACTTCATCATCAGACCTTTATTGACAATTACACCCCACTCAGGTGTAAGTCCTCATCAATACAAATTAATCAAACCCAAACAAAGGTAGCTACTGTTAACCGTTGAGGAGTTCCCTCAACTATCGTACTACTTCATCATCAGACCCTTATTGACAATTACACCCCACTCAGGTGTAAAGTCCTCATCAATACAAATTAATCAAACTCAAATACAAGGTAGCTAGTGTTAACCTTTGAGGAGTTCCCTCAACTATCGTACTACTTCATCAGCAGACCCTTATTGACCAATTACACCCCACTCAGGTGTAAGGTACTCATCAATACAAATTAATCAAACCTAAACACAAAGTAGCTACTGTTAACCGTTGAGGAGTTCCCTCAACTATCGTACTACTTCATCATCAGACCCTTATTGTCAATTACACCCTACTCAGGTGTAAAGTCCTCATCAATACAAATTAATCAAAACCCAAACACAAGGTAGCTACTGTTAACCGTTAAGGAGTTCCCACAACTATCGTACTACTTCATCATCAGACCCTTATTGACAATTACACCCCACTCAGGTGTAAAGTCCTCATTAATACAAATTAATCAAACCCAAACACAAGGTAGCTACTGTTAACCGTTGAGGAGTTCCCTCAACTATCGTACTACTTCATCATCAGACCCTTATTGACAATTACACCCCACTCAGGTGTAAAGTCCTCATCAATACAAATTAATCAAACCCAAACACAAGGTAGCTACTGTTAACCGTTGAGGAGTTCCCTCAACTGGCTCTCGGCTCCATCATCAGATCGGCTCCAGACCTTTATCAGATTGTAGTGGTTTTTAATACTTAATGAAAAAATTAACAAATGCCCTAGTCACCCCTATAATTTTTAAAAGTTCCCCTCGGTTTCCCTGGTCTTCCATCATCAGATCCTGATTTCCTTATTATGGGACCATTCTGGAACTATCTCCTTTCTAACAAAAAAAGAATTTTCAAAATCGGTTTATAAACAACGGAGATATCGGCGAACAAACATAAAAAAAAAAGCATATATACGGTCGAATTGAGAACCTCCTCCTTTTTTTGAAGTCGGTTAAAAATAGGTTTCATTTTGTAAATATTTTGGAATTTGCCAATTATTTTGATTTCAGTGGTATTAATTTCGGTGTTTTCAGTGAAAATAGGCACACCGGAGGACTGCAAAGGCCATGAGATCGCGCCGGAGCTCCTCCCGCCACGCACTTATCTGGCGCGGCAGCAGAGTTTCGCCCCGGCGACGTGCCTTCGCGCGCATGCGATATACGCGCGCGAGCACTTTCGCCTCCAGATCCCACGGCGGTAATCCGGCAAGGACGTTCGCCGCCTCCCCGGAGATCGTGCGGTATCCGCGGATCATTCAGATCGTCATGACCCTCTACGACGTGAGCAGCGCCCGAGCGGGCCGCCGCATCAGGTTCGGCGCCTACACAGGGACGCTGTAGATGGCCATGGACCGCACGACCCCGGCGTATAACCTCCGGCAGGTGGCGTTTGGCCCCCCGAGGTTGGGTAGGATGCGTTTAATTAAACGCTGCCCCCGTCCTCTCCAACTTGGAGCCAAACATCAGAAGTGCTCCACGCAGTTCCACCGACTGTCCAGGGTTGACCAACGAGCATACATTAAGTGTGGGAGAGCCATGCTTCGGCCCTGCTGGGCCGGCTCGACCGGAGTGATACCACAAACGAGCAAAAAACCATAGTAAAGCAATGTTTTTGTTGTGTTTCGTCGTTTGAGTCAGGTTACCGGAGGCCCAACTACCCCCACACTTCCTTAATCTTCCCAATCCCTGAATTTCTAACAATCCTCAAATTCCTAATCCCCAAAAGGCCGGTAACGCACTTGTAACGCCTCTGGTGTTCCGGGTGTCCATGGGCGGCGCCGATTGTTTACCATCAGGTGATCCGTCTGCTCGTTTATCGGCTTATCCCATAAAAAGAAAAAATAAAGACCTTTTCTGACACGGGGAAGGTTTGTGCATTTAGCGCCGCTGTACTTGATCGAGTACAGTGAAACAATTGAGGACAGTTGCTCACGTATTTTTTTATTTTGTAAGTAGTATTTAAAAATTTTAAGTCTATACCATATATATCATTTTAAGTCCCTATACCCTTAGTTATGTATTTATCAACTATAACAATCATGTCTTCCCTCTTTAATATGTTATTGCCTTAACTTCGTTGTCTACTTCATACTTTCTTTCTACAATTTTGCACCTACCACTTTAACATTCTGCACCACCCAATGGTCGACTGTCAGAAAATGCCTACGGCATTAAGTCCGCCAATTTTACTGTATGTGCAATAAAGTTTAATAAATAAATAAAAATGTAAATTGTAGAGAATTTTAAATAAATATATGTGAATGTTACCTTTTATCTTTATTATTGTATATTTTATGTCTATACAATTGTAAAATAAATGTTTTGCATAAATAACTTTGCTAGTTTCATTTTGGCGCTTTATTCTCATTGCGGGTGGCGATTTCAAACTTATATCTGGACACATCTATTGGCCCACCTTAGAGTTTAGGTTTCGATGGCCCCTACCGATATATGATTGCTAGATTGAACAAAAACTGTTGATGCAGTTTTAAACCTGATACATTTTACAATCTTTTTCGATCGTATTTTTTAAAATTTGAATTCAGAATACCATACGACATGGAGCTACGGCTAACAAATCGGATATGCGCCTTGTTAAAGGCAATTGATTTTTGAATAAAAACATGTTTTATCAAATAAAGGTTTAATTTAATAACCGGTGTTGCCTCTATGAGCATCTACCACAGCTCTCATACGATTAGGCATAGAGTTTATCAACCGCTCTATGAAATTTTGAGGGATCATCTCCCATTACTCTTCGTCTGGTCAACTGGCTGACGAGCCCTAACACGTCTTTTTAGCTCGTCCCACATGTGCTCAATGGTGTTCATGTCTGGGTTTGTGGCTGGCCAGTCCATAACTGTGATGTTCACATCCCGAAGATATTCCCTGACGATGCTGGCCACATGGGCTTTTGCATTATCAAGCGTAAAAAGGAAATTTGGGCCCACATAGGCCGCGTAGTCCGCGTATGGTGTCATGTGAGGTTCTAAGCACTCACGAATGTACCTTACAGCATTTATGTTATGTTGGCAGCCGTGGTCCTGTAACAACCTCAAGTTGAGTTTTGCTTAGCTCGCGGATATACCGCCCCAGACGGTCCATGAGCCACCGCCATTAGCAACCCTCTCTTCAAAGCAGCATTGTGCGAAACGCTCTCCCTTACGTCGGAAGACCTTCTTCCTTCCATCATTGCCATGTAACACAATTTTAGACTCATCAGAAAAGAGTACATGGCTCCAATCTTGCTGTGTCCAATTTAAATGACTGCGTGCGAAATGAAGGCGCGCTGTTAGGTGGGCTCGCGTTAGTTTGAGCCCATTAGCTGGCTTGTGTGGTACCATATCGCGTTCTTTTAACCTTCTCCGAACAGTTCGAGCGCTCACAGATACTCCGTGGAAGTCGCGATGTTGGTCTTGTATCTCAATGGAGGTAAGCTGACGAGTTCTCATGCTGGTCGTCACGATGAATCGATCCTGCCTTTCAGTTGTGACCCGAGATCGTGGCCTTCCTTGGCGACGAACAAAGCCGCCAGTCTCTAGGTACCTCCGATAAACATTTCAGACCGCAGATCGACTTAAATTAAGTTGAGCACCCACGTTTCTTTGGCTGTGTCCGGCCTGAATAAGTGCCACAGCTTGGGCGGCGACTTCAGGTGAAGTATCCATAGATTATTGATAGAACTCACCTTAATGTTAAGAATAAGTAATGTTTGTTGCAAAACCAAAGATATCAATCACCTTTTCAAGAATTAAATCCAAGTAAACCAATAAAACCAAGTTTTCTTAGTATTCGATTGTTTGATACCAACAAACAGGCTCCAAATTGTCTTTTGTTTCTTTAAATTCTGTGTTCGAAATTCAAAAAAAGACTATTGAATGAAATTGTGAATGTGCCAGGTACAAAACTGCATAAAAACTTTTTGCTCGACGTAATATAAAATTTTAGCTAGGACCAAACGAAACTGAAAATACAAGGTGGGCCAATAGATGTGTCCAGAAGTGTAATTAGAAATTATTCAAGTTTCCTTAACCCAGGTTTCCCGTTAGTAGGTGTCGAGCCCGCGCCCTCGTGCATGAGAAGCGGGCGTCTTAAACCTTCACAGTGCCAAGCACGAGTAGCTATCGCGTTCGTAACGTAACAGTATCGAGAGGGTCCGGCGCCTTGTGCTCTGGAGCCGGCCAATCAGAGCTAAGCTTCGGAAGCGACAGTTATTCCTTCTTGCACTCTAGTCACCACGACATTAGAATCCTTACTTCCTTACTTATATTATAAATCGGAAAGTGAGTTTGTTTGTTTGTTTGTTTGGTCCGCTTTCACGACATAACTACTGGACCGATTGCTTTGAAATTTTGCAGAGGTAAAGTTAGAAGTCTGGATTAAATAATAGGGTACTTTTTATCCCGGAAAAATTGATATTCCCGAGGAAAAACAAAAGCATTGGTAAAGATGGCGCTGTGTGTATTGGTATATGTCACATAGGCTACTTCTTATCCTTTTGTGATGCGAGCGAAGCCGCGGGTAAAAGCTAGTTTTATAAATAAAACAATTAATATATTTCTCAATAAACATTTTTTATTTTAATTCGTTGTGAATCTTTATGGCTGAGAAGCTCCAATAGCTCAGTGGTTGTAAGTAGTTGTACGCTGGCGGTGACGTCGCAGCTGCGGTATACTTCGTACCGTGCCGGGTCGGACAGGGCCGCCTTACCCATCACTATTATGTACGGGTAACCCATTCTGTGAACAATGAAAATAGTCTTGCTATTGATAGATACTAAAGTTGGTACTTGTATGTGTTTGTTACTTAACCACCTTTTCTTGTATAGAAGCACTAATTCTATGGATTGTCAGTATGCATATGTGAGCACCATGTTGGACTTCAAGATTTTTTTTTTTTAATTTTATTAAGTTATGAGTATAATGCGTCAAGCGTGTCTTTGCATTGTTCTTACATATGCGTACATTATGGAAATATGTATCAGAGACATTGTAGAACATACTTTTTTTAAAAAGAGTAACGATTGGAGTTTCTTACTCGTTCTTCTCCATTCGAATCTATATTTTGGAATGAGCACCTAGCTTCACCTAGTTTCACTGACGGACTGACTGACAGACTATTGTTTATTTTGTATTTGTTGACGTTTCAAAAGTACCAAATTATGGTTTAATTGAAATAAATGCTTTGACTTTGACTTTGACCACGTCAAAACGGCTGAAGGGATCGCGATGAAATTTGGGACAGGGATAGATAATGGTCTGGAGTAACACATAGAATACTTTTTTTTAGCTATCGCAAGTGAAACCGCTGGTAGAAGCTAGTGTTGAATCTTTGTAATAGATGCAGTCGGTCAACGCCATACTAGTGAACCATAACTGGTACAATTTGGATAGTCACCTAGGAAAAACATATTCCTTTTTCTTTTTTTATGGCATAAGCCGGTAAACGAGCAGACGGATCACTTGATGGTAAGCAATCGGCGTCGCCCATGAACACCCGGAACACCAGAGGCGTTACAAGTGCGTTACCGGCCTTTTGGGGATTAGGAGTTTGAGGATCGTTGGGGATTCAGGAATTGGGGAGATTGGGGAAGGGGAGGGTAATTGGGCCTCCGGTAACCTCACTCACACAACGAAACACAACACAAGCGTTGCTTCACGTCGGTTTTCTGCTCGGCCGTGGTATCACTGCGGTCGAGCCGGCCCGCAGTGTCGAAGCATGGCTCTCCCACACCTATATCCCCTGCCTCTGTCCCTAAGATTATTACTACATAGTATAAAACAAAGTCGCTGTCTGCCGTCTGTCTGTCGCTATGTATGCTTAGATCTTTAAAACTACGCAACGGATTTTGATGCAGTTTCTTTTAATACATAGATAGAGTGATTCTTAAGGAAGTTTTATATGTATAATACATGCATAATATGGTAGAGATACACTGATAAATTTAGAGGTTTCTTATGTAATGTCGTAGATTACATAAGCATTGCAGCCGTGCGAAGCCGGGGCGGGTCGCTAATAGAAATAATCAAGATATATAGAAAGAGTAATATTATAGTTTTTGCTCGTCCCTTTCAGGATAAACAGCATTGACTGACTCTTCTATTTTGTCGTAAGTCAAAGTCAAAATCATTTATTTCAATTAGACCAGGCTTACTCTTGAATCTAATTCCGATCGATCGACATTAGTATTGTGTAACTTCGTACTCTTGAGTTTCAACACTAGCGCCCATTGCGTCCGTATTGCGTGGATATTGAATGAAGTTTGTCTTTACATTCCGTACTCTGAATGCTATTGTAACAGCTACGATTGTGGTTGTATAGTGTTGACATTGAATATTTATTGAGATTTTATTAGATTGAAATTGCATTGACATTGAGATTGGTTTCAAGAGTAAGGTACTTTTGAACGTCAACAAAAAAAATAAGAGTGGAGTTATCACACTATTATTATAAACGTGATGGTTTCTTTGTTCGGATGTCCGTCAATCGCGCTGTAACTTTAAGTGTGAGAGAGCCATGCTTCGGCACTGCTGGGCCGGCTCGACCGGAGTGATACCACGGCCGAGCAGAAAACCGACGTGAAGCAACGCTTGCGTTGTGTTTCGTCGTGTGAGTGAGGTTACCGGAGGCCCAATTACCCTCCCCTTCCCCAATCCCCAACGATCCTCAAACTTCTAATACCAAAAAGTCCGGTAACGCACTTGTAACGCCTCTGGTGTTCCAGGTGTCCAAGAGCGACGCCGATTGCTTACCATCAGGCGATTCGTCTGTTCGTTTACCGGATTATGCCATAAAAAAAATCGTAATTTAGTACACAGGCAGGGTATGGGGTGACTTAGGTGATAGGGTAGGGATATTAATCCCGATGGAATGGTCCCATGGGATAAAACAGGTATAATATTCTACGCGGACGAAGTGTATTTAATTTTATTATTGACTTTTCGGACATTAAACTGTCAAACACCGCGAGGACACCGGTGACCGCAACCTATTGTTCTTTGTGTCTATAATGACGGTACTCAAAGGGTTAAAAGCCGTAACAATCCTTATTCTTACTAAATTCTTATAAATCTGAAAGTGAGTTTGTTTGTTTGTTCCACCTTCACGCCGTAACTACTCAACCGATTGCTTTGAATTTTTGCAGACGTAAAGTTAGAAGTCCGGATTAAATAATAGGGTACTTTTTATCCCGGAAAAATTGATATTCCCGAGGAAAAACAAAAGTATTGGTATAGATGGCGCTGTGTGTATTGGTTTATGTCACATAGGCTACTTTTTATTCTTTTTTGACGCGAGTGAAGCCGCGGGTAAAAGTTAGTATGTTATATATGTACCTGTCCGCCATCATGAGTCGCTTCCCAATAGTGAGGTGGTGTCTGTCGTCCACGATGACGTCACCAGGTCTTGCAGGCTCCAGCGTCTCATACAGCTGGGATATGGAGGCGATGCCGTGTGTCTCCCATTCTCTTGAACCTTCCTGTAAGGAATACAAGTTATTTTAAATAATAATATTGTTTGCCTCGTTGGCCAAGTGGTCGCGAGTTCGACTGCCGGGCAAGGGGACAACAGTTCGAATCCCGAGTCGGGCAAAGTATTACTGGGTTTAAAAATTCTCCGTAGTAGCACGGAGTCTGGAATTGTGTATATGGTAATAGGCTCACCCTTTATTATATGGGACTGCCAGGCACGGCAGAGCCCCCACTAATTAGAATTTTAAATAAAATGTCCTCTAATTGGATATTGTAGTGTATTACAATGCATTAAGGCTGTATTTACCTTGGGCCCGATGATGCAGATGCTGTACGGTGCGATGGCGTCTGGCCAGCGCAGACACTTGTCACTGGACAGTGCTTCTATACTCGCTGATAGTAATCTGCAAATTATGAACAAAGGAGTATTATGATGACGCTAGCTACTCCTGCGGCGGCTTCCTCCACTGCTCGGCTTCTATTGGTTGTAGCGTGATGTTTTATAGCCTATAACCTTCACATAACTCCTGAAATGCACGGCGCGAACGGACAAGTTGAACGGTATATAAGAACCGTTCTCAACATGCTTCGAATCGAAGTGGGACGTAGGAACGCCTCCTGGTCGACCACACTTTGGAAGTTACGACTGGTGCTAAATATCAGCAAACAGAAAACCACTCAATCCTCAGCCATAAATTTAATGATTGGTACGGACGCCTCTACTCCAGCTATACGATCGCTGATACGGGACCTAGCTACAAGTACTCCAGATACCAACAGAGAAGCTCTGCGGGAGATGCGTCGAAGTCGCGCTAGCGAACTGATGAAAAAGAACCAAGAACAGCAAGATGCTTCAGCCAACCAGTTCAGACGTCCACCGCGTGAAAACAAGGTGGATGATCTGGTTTCTGTAATAAAGTACTCGCAATCAACGGGTAAATTAGACCCTGGGATGCGAGGACCATATAGTCTTGCCTAATGGGCGCTACGAACTTAAACTTCTCAGTGGAAGCTGCGGGAAAACCACTCAAGCACCCTCCCAATACATGGTGCCTTGGAAAGGAGAATGGTGCCCAGAAAGTTGTGCCGCTTTCTTTGAAAGTGAGTATGATGAACTTATTCTGTTTTTGGTTTCAGAATTGTTAGTCCCAATGGCGTTAGTCGCCCAACAATGGGATGTGTTCCCCATCAACGGTGTTAATCACATGAGGACGGACTCCCCAAGGACGGGTGTCGCCTAAACATGGGATACGCCCCACTGCGAAGGCGTGTGTCGCACAACGTCGGTGATTGTCACCCATGTAGTGTTAGCCGCCGTGGTAATGTATAAGGCAATGATATAAGATGGTTGGGACCCCTACTATCTTATATTGTTAGCCATTTTCCTATTAAATAATGCAATTAATTGATCAGTATACTTGTGCTTTTTGTGTGAATAACCATCGCTAACTCTTTCAGATGACGATACTGATGAGGCTGAAAATAGATCAGATCACTTGGAAAGCGACAACCCAGAGCCAGTTTCGATTCTCGGGCCTGCGGACGGCGAGCATGGGTGACTCGCCGCCCGACCAGAACCAGGCCCGAGCGTACGGCGCGTCGCGTTCCGCGCGCGCCTCAAGGAGCCATCAGACCACCACAGATGGGGCCTAGCAGGGCTGATGCCGATACGGAGCCCGGGTGAAGTGCAGGAGTAGGAACGGGGTGGTTTTTAGTCAGTAAGAGTCTGACACTCCCTCCCGCCTCACCCGGGCGGGAGAAGTCATTGGATGATTTTCGCCCCTCAAAAAAAAAAAGCGCCAGTTTCGATTGGGTTATCCATGCCGAGCTTAGATGAAGAGATGGGAACAGCACGGCATCCCACTGCAGGTGCATCCCAAGAAGTTCAAGTCGAGCACGACTTGCTGTCAGGAGAGGCCGTGTCAGGAGTTGCGGAATAACAGTTTTTAAGAGCCTATAAAAGCAAACTTCACACCATTGTCAGGCTCATTTGTCGGGTGTCGTTCGCGGTGGTTACATCGCTCAAGGATCGCGAGACTTATATTTTTCCAATTTTTGTACTTTCTTATTATTTCTTGATTATTTATGTGCTAATTTAATGTGTGGTGATTTGCGGTAGATAAGGGTTTTTTTTTTTTTTTAAGGGGGGAAAATCATCGAATGACTGCTCCCGCCTGGGTGAGGCGGAAGGGAGTGTCAGACTCTTACTGACTAAAAACCACCCCGTTCCTTCTCCTGCACGTCGAGCCGGAGCCCCGGTTACCCGTTAGGTTCTCCGCGACTCCGAATCGGCATCGGCCCTATTGGGCCCCATCTGTGGTGGTCTGATGGCTCTTTGAGGCGCGCGCGGAACGCGACGCGCCGTACGCTCGGGTCTGTTTCTGGTCGGACGGGGAGCCACCCATGCTCGCCGTCCGCAGGCCCGCGCTTACGGTGGCCGGAGATCGTCCCGCGATCCCCGACGCCCGGTGTGTCCTTCGCGATGGCTGGGTTGCGAGGAGGCAGCGCTTCGCTGCCTCACGCGTCCCGCCTCCTCCTTAGCTAGCATGACTGCTTCGCAAAAGGAGGAGACGGCATCCCAGTCCCCCTCGCTCCGCATCATGGCCTGCACTAGGCCCGGACGCGAGAGGTCGCCATCGCCGTTCACTTCCCTGAGGGCACGGCGGTGCTCAGCCCACGCAGGGCATTCCGCTACAGTGTGTTCCACCGTGTCCTCAGGGCGGTCCTCGCAGTGATGACACCCGGGCGTTTCCTCCCGCCCCATCAGACACAGGTACCTCCCGAAACTTCCATGTCCGGTGAGGACCTGCGTCAGGCGGTAGGTGAGGACGCCGTAGCGTCTCTCAAGCCACTCCTCAAAGAGGGGACTTACCGCTGCAATGGCAGCGAGCCCAGGTAGATAAGGTTACTTGGTTATCGTGATTGTTATTTTGTTCCTTAATTAAAAAATAAAGTGTTGTATCATTTTGGTTGTCTGTTGCGTTGTTTTTTTTAAATATCCAGACTTCTGATTCCTAACATTATTCCTAATATATTATTCCAGGCCATAATCTACCCTTGTTCCAAATTTCATCCCGATCCCTTCAGCGGTTATGACGTGTTTGCGTGACAAACATACAGACAAGAATATTAGTTAGAATTAAGATTAGTTACATACATACATAACATAACATAACATCACGCCTTTTATCCCCGAAGGGGTAGGCAGAGGTGTAAATAATTTCACTGTACAATGTAAATGTGGGTACATACCTAGTAATACCAATACCATAGCAGGACATGTATAGTGGCGCGGGCGGGCCGCTAGATGGCGTGCAGTGCGCCGCCAGGGCCGCGCTGTACTTGCTGCCCAGTAGGAACGTGTGACCCACCTGGAATGGAAGGTCGACATCATCATTCAGTGTGGGAGAGCCATGCTTCGGCACTGCGGGGCGGCTCGACCGGAGTGATACCACGGCCGAGCAGAAAACCTACGTGAAACATCGCTTGCGTTGTGTTTCGTCGTGTGAGTGAGGTTACCGGAGGCCTAACTACCCCCCCTTCCCAGTCTCCCCAATCCCCGAATCCCCCACAATCCTCAAATTTCCAAAAGGCCGGTAACGCACTTGGAACATATCTAGTGTTTCGGGTGTCCATGGGCGACGCCGATTGCTTGCCATCAGGTGATCCGTCTACCAGCTGATCTCATAGAAAAAAATTCACTGATAGTTTTTTCTACCTTTGGGTGGATATAATGCAAAAGAAATATTAAGTCGGGATGTTTTTTCGCAAAATAATACACAATCATATTACAGTTAGGTCTTTTGCAGCTCCGGTCAGTACAGAACTACAGACTTTTTTTTAATAAGACAAGCCCGTCACAACCTCCCAAAACCGCTGCAACTCCTGTGCACCAAGATCTACAGTAGATACAACCATGAAAACACCGGAACACTGAAGTCCGGCGCGTCTCAGGCACATGAGTAACTGTCTTGGTTCCCGCAACGAAGTGAATCAGAAGATATTATAAGAGGAGAACATAAAAACGATAGTTTCCACTTCCCTCGGTGAATTACTGCAGGAGACAGAATGAATTAAGCCTAAAGACACAATAAAAACAAAAGAACTACAGACTGTAACACATTCATTATTTAATTTAAAACACTTACCTCAATGCTGTGAACTTCTGCAGTGTCCCCCCCGCAGGTGCGACAGGCCCCCCCCTGCGGGAGTGCGCGCGCGCAGGCGGCGCACACAGTGACGGCGTCCTCCCCCGCGGGGGCCGGCAGCTGCCACTCGTGGGACAGGGGGCCCCCCATGTCGCCTGACGGAGCTTCCACTGTGGGGGGAAAATGGTTTTAAAGGGGTCGGTCGCTTGAAGGGGGTATGGGGAAGGGGTGAACTTTTGTTTAAGTAATTGGGCCTCCGGTAACCTCACTCACACAACGAAACACAACGCAAGTGTTGTTTCACTATGGTTTTCTGCTCGTTGGTGGTATCACTCCGGTCGAGCCGGCCCATGCGTGCCGAAGCATGGCTCTCCCACACGTAATTATATAAAACTTGTACAAAAAGTTGTTACCTCTATGCACGGGCAATTGCAACGTCCTGAACAGTGTATGGTACGCGTCAGTGAGTGCGCTGTACGTGTCCCGTGCGCAGTGCTCGTGCTCGTGCAGGCCGTACGCGTCCATCATGGAGAACTCTCGTGCGCGCAGTAGTCCGTGCTTGGGACGCGCCTCGTCGCGGTATTTGTTGCTGATCTGAAGGCGGAGGGTGAATACTGTGTTTCAAAATATTACCAAAAGGATATGGTTAGTTTTTGTATTGGTTTTGACGTACATACATACATAACATCACGCCTTTTATCCCCGAAGGGATAGGGCAGAAATGCACATTACGGCACTTAATGCCACTGTACAATGTAACACCCACTTTTCACTATTTATGGTACGAGTCCCATGTAATAGGGGGTGAGCCTATTGCCATATACCGCGCCCGTGGACACCCGGAACACCAGAGGCGTTACAAGTGCGTTACCGGCCTTTTGGGGATTAGGAGTTTGAGGATCTTTGGGGATTCAGGAATTGGGGAGATTGGGGAAGGGGAGGGTGATTGGGCCTCCGGTAACCTCACTCACACGACGAAACACAACGCAAGCGTTGCTTCACTTGGGTTTTCTGCTCGTTGGTGGTATCACTCCGGTCGAGCCGGCCCAGCAGTGCTGAAGCATGGCTCTCCCACACGTAATGAAATAAAACTTGTACTTAAAACTTGTGAGTTAAGAGAGAGAGTTACTTAAGAGATGGTTTTTTTAAGGGGGGGAAAGTCATCGAATGACTGCTCCCGCCTGGGTGAGGCGGGAGGGAGTGTCAGACTCTTACTGACTAAAAACCACCCCGTTCCTTCTCCTGCACGTCGAGCCGGAGCCCTGGTTACCCGCGGTTCTCCGCGACAAAGTAAGAGATGGTTTAGGGGTGATGGAAAACGGTAATTATAATTTATTTTTAGTTTACCTGGTACAGTAACAGTGGCAGTTGTTTGTATGACAGTGGACCCACATCTGCTAACAAGTCTGCTATCGCTTCTTCATGTGTCTGGAACACAAGGTTAAATTAATATTATTAGATAAGGTGTTAAGCATTTGTTTTGTAAACTTAAGAAATTATTACGTACATAACTTCACGCCTGTCTCCCATGGGGGTAGGCAGAGACTATGGAACGCCAATACGGTACTTGACAGATAGTCAAATTCAATACTTTTAATGAAATGTCAAAACGAAAGAAGAAAGAAAAACCATTTATTTTCGCGCAAAACACACATAACATAATTTAAAAATAAAATAAAAGCTAAAAAAATTTAAAATGAAATTAATAATGAAATGAAATCTTGTCCATGGTCCACAGAGTCATTATTTAAAAACGATACTTTTCTATGAATTTGGTATTGGATAGCTACTTATGACGTCATCATATTTCTGCGTCAAATAGCATAGGTACTTATTTCCTTAAAATTAGCGAGAAAACATCCAAAAGTAGGTAAAGTGTCAAATCAATGGATGAGAGTATGATTATTGTTTAGTTTTTTATTGCATTGAAAAGTTGAAACAATTTATTTTAAACCTATGAAACTAGCCGATTACTACGAATCCTACATAACCTCTTTAGATTTCTACATAATAATAATCACATACAACTACTTAACAAGACACACACACACACACAAATCAAACAAACATATGCATGCATACATACTCGCATTTTTTTTTCTAATTATTATTAGTGTCCGACCGAAGCTTCGGCTTCGGCTTCGGCTTCGGCCATCTTCGGCCAAAAAGTCCACCTTCGGCAAAACATTCGGCTTCGGCCCAAAGCCCGGCCGAAGCCGAAGGTTTCGCCGAAGGTCCGAGCGACTGCCGAGATTAAACGAACTGTTACGAATGTCATGAGGCGGCGGGGAGTCACTGTCAAAATATCACATTGCATGCATCAAAACAAGTTCGTACGTGTATTTAAACGAGTGTTTGTAAAATAGAATTGTGTTAGTAAAATAGAATATTATATTATTCTTATAGCTTCTTGTGTGCAAAACAGTCATTAACTCATTAGTTCTTATGTTATTGTTATTGTTTCATTTATTTTGAATTTTCTAATATTTGCTAAATTTAATTGACCAACATTTAATTATTTACTAAGAAGTTATGCTTGTTTATTTTATTTATTAGTCTAGTTTTGGTCTAGTCCAGTAAAACAAAGACTGATTGATCTAATTGTAATTTGTGAAATTATTCATAATAAAGAATTTACCAGTAGGTAAATCACAAACTTTTATTAATCGCTAAACCAACCATCTCTTTGATATATCATAAACTTCTTTATAAGACAGTCAATATAAACCTTCAATATTGAGGTTTTGAAATAATTTTAATATTAATTGTAGCTTGTAGACAATATTGAACAAAATAATTGACTGAGTGCTGAGAAAATATGAACCTTCGGCTTCGGCTTCGGCTTCGGCCGAAGGTCGTGGCGATAGCCGATTAATTGGCTTCGGCTTCGGCCAAAAATACACCTTCGGTCGGACACTAATTATTTTCACCACGGTAACACTTCCTATGAAACTTGATTATATTGAGGTGCAGGTTCATCATTTTCTAAATCATTGATATTTAGGTGACCATTGATGTTGAGTTTGCAATAAGTAAAATTGTATTAGTTAAAATATAAATATTAAGGTATTGTAAACTTGTTTATGGTTCCAATAAATAAAAAAAACATGTCATACAAACCGGAGCCAACAAATACTTCTTCCCGTGTCTATCTTCCATTTTAATAAGCTCCGGACCGATCTCCTGCAGTCTACCCGTCTTATCCCACAATGTGGCAGGAGTGAGTGATGGTACGGCCATCCTCTGACCACCGGCAGCTTCTATACATGATTTGATCAGATTCTCCAGTTTATCCAGAGCTCTCCGGGCTAGTGGCAGGATGGTGAAGAGTCCAGGCCCTGTCGGACGGATGAGGCCGCATTCTAGAAGCAGCTGGAATGGATTATGATTTTATATAAATTACAATTAACTGCCACATTGGCCGAGTGGTTGCAAGTGCGACTGCCGGGCAAGGGGTCTTAAGTTCGATTGCGGGGTCAGGCAAAGTATTATTGGGTTTATTAAAATAAAATTCTCAGCAGTAGCACGGAGTCTGGAATTGTGCCCGGTATATGGCAACAGGCTCCCCCCTTATTACATGAGACTCATAATATGAATAGTGAAAAGTGGGTGTTCTTTTGTATAGTCGCATTAAGCGCCGTAATGTGCACCTCTACCTACACTTTCGGGGATAAAAGGCGTGATATACTAAATATATACTTTTGAACAAAGACATGGAGCCAGTAGGGTTGTTTCTTTTTCATTTCTCGATAAATATTTGCTGATACAAGTATTTTATTAATTGGTAATGTATGTCGTATATAAGGCAATTTAGTTACCTTTAAATGAGAGCATTTATGAAAAAACAAAACTAGTGGCTCCGTTTCTTTCTGTATGATTTCATTGGAGATGTACAGTAAAAACTTCGGGTTAGTATGTCGGTTACCTATAGGTACTGTCTTATTTATTTATTCTTACTTCTTCACCAAAGATAACAGTGAATGGTGGACTGAATGCCTTAAGGCATTCTCTGACAGTCAACCATAGGGAAGTGCAGAGAAATGAAGTGGTTGATGCGAAGCCAGAACACAATAAAAAGAAATAATTAATATTAAATAATATGCATACTACACACATAAAAAACGTATACAATAAATATAACTATATGATATATTATAAATCTATATAGACATACATACTATATAATATATACTGCTAAACTAATAGTCAAAGTCAAAGTCAAAATTATTTATTTCAATTAGACCAGTAAGGCACTTTTGAACATCAAAACAAAATATTTAAATTTAAAATAGGTAATAAGAAAAAATGTCAGTCTGTAGGTCAGTCCTCTAGTGAAGCTAATACTTATACCTACTACATAAATACTACAATACGTTAAAGGAAACTTTGTCAAAATAGTTTCTTCAATTGTTTTCAGTCTGCCAATGCTTAAATGAATGCTCGCGGATTTTAAATCAGAAGAACAGTTTGAATGAAAACGGAAGAATGAAAGAAGTCAGTGCGATGAGAGATACATAGAAGATGTTGATTATGAGACAAACGAAGAAATTTTGTGTGGTTTGCGCACGTATATTGGAAGTAAGAAGCAAGGTAAGTAGGTGAAGGACAGTCAAGATCCTTACTATAATATTATAAATCTGAAAGTGAGTTTGTTTGTTTGTTCCACCTTCACGCTGTAACTACTCAACCGATTGCTTTGAATTTTTGCAGACGTAAAGTTAGAAGTCCGGATTAAATAATAGGGTACTTTTTAACCCGGAAAAAATTGATATTCCCGAGGAAAAACAAAAGTATTGGTATAGATGGCGATGTGTGTATTGGTATATGTCACATAGGCTACTTTTAATTCTTTTGTGACGCGAGCGAAGCCGCAGGTAAAAGCTAGTATGACAATAAAGTGGTTAGTGCTCTTTGCAAGTTGTGTTCTTCTCTGTCCTGTAGCTATTTGTGTTGGAGGTTGATACAGCTTTCTTCATGATCTCCCGCCATCTCTCTCTGTTTGTGGATTGTCTGGCACAGTCTAACACTGGGCTTACCATTGCCTATTTGACTTGATCGGTTCAGAGCATAGGTAATCTGCCTCGTGATCTGGTTCCCTCTACCTTCCCCTGAACGACCAGCCGCTCTATGGAGTTGTTATCACGACGGGAGACAAGGCCAAAGTACTGCAGTATGCGCGTCTGTACTATGGTTGATAGACGCTTTGTGATGCCGAGTTCTCGGAGTATGGATATGTTGGTGCGGAACTCAGTCCACGATACACCAAGCATCTTCCTCCAGCACCACATCTCTAGAGCATCTATCTTCCCCTTTTCCAATTCACGTACTGTCCACGTATGTCATAGGTACTTTGATGTTGTTGAAATTATGCGACAGTTATGGTTTAAAACACAAATATGTATAACTCAATTTCATAGTAGCTGCTATACAGCAGGTTAAACAATGTCTAATGTGTATATTCACATATAGAAACACAAAAACTATTAATAATGGTCTGTATACACAATTTCATTACTAAAACAGGTAATAATATTCTTCGGAACGTTAAAAAAGATCGATAAAATTAAAGTTACCTTACCTTTTGACTTTTACACGTAATTTCTGTGTTTTTAATCTTAGCATTCTTTGGAATAGTGATTACAGGCTGAAATATCTTCGATAAGCATCGCATTGTGTTATAAATTATATTTTTTTTAATGTTTATATTCGCTTTGTGCACAGTTTTCAGGTTACCGAAGTCAGCTGTGTTTTTAAACGTCAAAGTTGTCAAATTGAAGTTGCGTTTAGTGAGTGCGAATGCGATGTTTTAAAATGTAATGAGACTAATATCACAGAATACTAATATTTCTTATTATTAAAGACATGTAGAATTTAATTTTTCTATTTTGATATACTGTGAAATAAAATATGTTATTAAAATAAAAAATCTTAATATTTGTGTTTATCTAAAACTTATGATTGTCTTCACCATACATTATCCAAACCCCAAAACCATATCTTACTAAAAGTTACTTAGGGTGAGCCCCTTACGTTTACCTTTAGGTGTCACTATAGGTTGGTGAAAACCTAAATAATCCCCAATGGTCACCGGTGACCGCTCTCTACTAATTCCAGACCAGGAAAATCGTCGAATGACTGCTCCCGCCTGGGTGAGGCGGGAGGGAGTGTCAGACTCTTACTGACTAAAAACCACCCCGTTCCTTCTCCTGCACGTCGAGCCGGAGCCCCGGTAACCCGTTAGGTTCGACAATGTCTAAAGACAGCTTTTATATGAATAAATTTTGAGGTTCTGTGATTATCAAGTGATTGCGTACGAGTTAAAAAAGAGACGTTTATGTAGATGGACATGGCAGATGTTAAAGCTTTTAATTAAGTAGTGGTTGTTTAATTAAATAAAACAGTCTTTTTCAATCATCATCAGTTATCTCTAGAATAAAATTGACACTTGACAGTTTTTAGTACGACGTGCTCCATCGTAGACCGCATCATCGTGCACCACCAGGCGAGATAGTGGTCAAACGTCGGCCCATGTAATATAAAAAAATAACATAACATCACGCCCTTTATCCCCGAAACGTGTGCACGTTATGCCACTGTACAATGTAACACCCACTTTTTACTATTAATATGTTATGAGTCCCATGTAAGGGGTAAGACTATTGCTATATACCGGGCAGAACTCCAGATGTCGTGCTACTACTGAGATTTAAAAAACCCAGAAAAACTTTGCCCGACCCGGGAATCGAACCCGATACCCCTTGACCGGCAGTTGCACTTGCGACCACTCGGCCAACGAGGTAGTAAAAATAGTGCCTTTAGCCAAACGCCACTTTAGCGCTTTTCTACAGAGAGAGTAGAGAACTAAACGTATGGGGATGACACTGACAAGTGTTAAAATTTACGTCAATCCCATAGGTATATTTTGGTTTTCTATTCTACATGTAGACAAGCGCTAAATGGCATTTGGCTACAGCTGCGTAATTAGCATTAGCGCTCCATTTTCTGTGTTTACTTACCTAATTAGGTACCACAAACTAGGTACAAACGCTAGCAAAAGAATATACCCGAAACAAACAATTTCCTACAATCAAGTTTCGAGTTTAACACTTTTATAATAGAGTTGAAATTCGGTTTGGCATTTGGGTATAGCATGATATGCTAGGAAGCTGTTAGCTAATTAAAAGCCAACCTAAAGACAAAGTGTGTCTTTTGGCAACTGTGTCGGTTGAATGTGCTTTTAAAGTTCATTATTCTTTGTTCAAAATAGCTAGCTGGAGTACTTTTTAGGTTTCGTTTTTGTTGTTGTTGCAAGGAAATATGGGTCTTAATGTAGTTTTCTTGGATCTATTTAGTTTTAGTTATTCTTTTTTTTTTAAAAAAAAACGTTGCCCCACACTATGGTTATCTCCTGTGTCGTGTGTGCATTTACAAACATACAAGTTCACATACACAATGACACTCAGACCCGAAACAACAATTTGTGGATCACACAAAGTGTTGTTCCGTGCGGGAATCGAACCCGCGACACGTTGCACGGCAGCCGGTTGCCCAGCCACCGCACCAACCGTGCAGTCAGTCACAGTCAGTCAGTTATGATTTTATGTTTTATGTTTGTTCAAGGGGTCTCGGGTGCGATTCCCGGGTCGGGCAAAGTATTACTGGATTTTTTAAAAAAATCTCGGTAGTAGCACGGAGTCTGGAATTGTGCCCGGTATATGGCAATAGGCTCACCCCCTATTACATGGGACTCATAACATAAATCGTGAAAAGTGGATATTACATTGTACAGTGGCATTAAGTGCCGTAATGTACACCCCTGCCTACCCTTTCGGGGATAAAAGGCGTTATGTTATGTGTTTTAGGTTTACGAGGGGTAACGGGTTCAATTCTTTGTTTGACAAACATCAATAGTTCTATGAGCCACCTCTATATAGGAGCGCTTTCTAATTTTTGATCGCAGTATAAAAGGTTCAGGTTTATCAGAGAGCGCTGCTGCACGGTCTCTTAGTAGTCTCTTAGTCGGGTATACGATACCCACGGGAAGTGAAATAAATTATATCATACAGCTAAGGGTCATTTAATGCTACGTACTAAACAGTCAGCAGGTGGGTAGGTGGGCAGGTCACGTCGCTCGACGAACTGACGGCAGATGGGCCAAGAAAGTCCTCGAGTCAAGACCACGAACCGGAAGACGAAGCGTGGGCCGGCCTCCCGCTAGGTGGACCGACGACTTCGCCAGAGTTGCGGGGAGCCAGTGGATGCGGGACTAAGGAGGAGGCCTTTGTCCAGCAGTGGACGTCTTCCAGCTGTTGATGATGATGCTGATAACTAAAAAGTATTTTCGGAAATCGCAAATAATCTTAATAAAAGGATACATACCCTTTTTATGAGATAAGCCGGTAAACGAGTAGACGGATCACCTGATGGTAAGCAATCGGCGTCGCCCATGGACACCCGAAACATTAGAAGGTGTTACAAGTGCGTTACCGGTCTTGTAAGGATTAGGAATTTGATAATTTGTTGGGGATTCAGAGATTGGGGAGGGAGGGGCGGAGGGTGATTAGGCATTTCGTAACTAATACGACGAAACACAACGCAAGCGGTGTTATCAGTCATTAAGTTGAATGCGTCCGGTCAACCCATGGATTGTGGTTGCCACCCTTTGCTTTAATAACTTCATAAAAACAAGGGTTGTTATTGGTATGGAGCTTTGAAATCGTAATCTTACTTCTTACTATAATATACGTGCCTAAGCCAGTAAACGAGACGGATCACCTGATGGTAAGCAATCGGCGTCGCCAATGGACACCTGGAACACCAGAGGCAGAGGCGTTACAAGTGCGTTACCGGCCTTTTGGGGATTAGGAATTTGAGGATCGTTGGGGATTCAGGGATTGGCCCTCTGGTAACCTCACTCACACGACGAAACACAACGCAAGGTTCACGTCTGTTTTCTGCTCTGCCGTGGTATCACTCCGGTCGAGCCGGCCCAGCAGTGCCGAAGCATGGCGAGCCCACACTTAAAAATGTCTGTATATATGTTACTCACGTCAAAACGGCTTTTTATGGCATAAGCCGGTAAACGAGACGGATCACCTGATGGTGAGCAATCGGCGTCGCCAATGGACACCTGGAACACCAGTGGCGTAACAAGTGCATTACTGGCCTATTAGGAATTGGGAATTTGAGGATTGTGGAGATTCGGGATTGGGGAGACTGGGGAAGGGGCGGGGGCTGGTATCGGATAGAAATTTGAAAGTAGTACATTATTGTCTAGAAAACCACATAGGCTAGCAGAGGAAGGAAGGCCGCTAGCAGAAATTACACCATTTACGAAAAACACTGCCATAATATCCTTTTACAATAAATATAACCCCATCACCCCTCAATGGCGTCCACTGCACAGTGATTTTAATGAAACGGCATTAAACCGCGGCGTCACCATTATATCTCTATATCAGCAGGTCGGCGCGAACCGTTTAACCTCGGAACAAGTGACGCGTACACCGGGGATCATCTCCGTTTGGTGACGGTAGGGTTACGGTGACGGGAGGTCGCGGGAGCGGGAGCGGAGACGGTATAATCTAGTAGTTTAGAATTGGGTACTTTCCTTAGTCAAAAATAAATGATTTCGTAATAATTACACTTTCAATAAATGATTTTATGACCAACTTAATTTAAGTATTTTCTCAACAAATTTTTTGAAATAAGTATGCTCTTTAACGCTAAAATAACGTGACATCACAATACATAATCTAGTACAAAATTCATAGAAAACTGTCGTTTATGACAGTTCAAAAAAAAAAGTATTTTTTTTTACTTTTATTACATCCACTTTTCACTATTTATGTTATGAGTCCCATGTAATAGGGGGTGAGCCTATTGCCATATACCGGGCACAACTCTAGACTCCGTGCTATTACTGAAAAACCCAGTAATAGTTTGCCCGTCCGGGTTAAAAACTCTATTAGACCTTTAAATATGTACTAAATTATTTCTATTGTTATCTTTTTACTTCTTTGGTTTAGGCGTGTGGCGAGTGCTTACGGCTGGGTGACTTGTCTACTCGTTTTAAAATAGTACTAGGTAGGTACCTACTAAACAAAATCTATAAATTAATAAACTACTAAATAATAACTATCGTGAGCAGTTTCGTCGCGGCACTCGTGCGAACGAGTCGTGTTGTAATTGTTTACGTCGATTTGACGCACTAATCGTCTGACCATTGATAAGCAAGTACCTAAGAGCTTAGAAAGGTCCCGCGCGGGGCAAACCGGTTTGCCACCGGCGCGCTATAGATGCAACGTGTCTGCGAATACAATGAGTGATACAAATGAGAATTACGATGAAATAAATGATGAGAATATGAATGAAGTTACAAACGAAATTTCTACTTCAAATGAAAATTTAGACAATTTAGATAATCCAACCAAGAAGAGAATGAGGGGAAGCAGCGATGAAGAATGGACAGAAGTAACACGAAAAAGCAAAAAACTTAAGGATATAAACAAAATAGAAGTATATATATCCAGTAAAGAAAAACTACCAAAACAATTTAATTTAGCCAAGATATTTAGAGACCAGAATATTAAAGATATTATGAGAGTAAAGTTTACCAATCCATACCGAGTTCGTATAGAACTGGGTAATGAAATTAGTGCGGAGAAATTA